GTGCTCTAGTGCAGTGGATTCATCATCTTTAAATAACAGTGTTCTGAAGTACTACAAGCTTACCTACCTACACCAACACCAACCTAATGATTCTCTGCCTGGTGTAAAGCAACTACTATGCAGTAATACCTTACTGCATGTGGGAGGATTTTCTTTACAGGTGATGTAAAATTCCTCCATGTAGACTGATGTGCAAAAGAGAACAGTAGGGTCACGATTAATGTTCTAGAACTTCCCGGATTACAGGAGGGTGGGAAGTGTTACAGTTGTCTGTTGCTGCTACTGTCCCCATAAAGGCTCCAATTCACAGCACCACAGAACACAGTGGTTCACCTCTTTATGACCACATTTTGGCATTTCCACTTGCACTGACACATGGCAAAAGAACTGCTGTAAAAACACCTCTATTGATTTAATTCTGAAAATATACCACATTGCTAAATACAAAAAAATTATTGTGGGCATTGCAACTATGGATTTTTTATTACCCCAAATTCTAAGTAGTGCACATTAATACTGTGCATCATAAAATTCTTGATCATGTGGGTATAGTCTTCAGTTTATCTCATAATACACTACCACTCTTCTAAATCATTGCCAATGTAATCTTTAAAACAGTAGCTCTTTGTCCACTCTAGGTTTTGTAAAAAGAGAAAGTATTATCTTCATCAGATATCACAGCTTTCATTTTTTTCTATGGTATTGTTTATTGGTGACTACAGTCTGCTTACTTTCAATTCTAAGCAGGAACTCATTCTATTACTTTGCTTTCAAGAAAAACTCCTTCACAAAAGCCTGTAAAATAAGATTGAGATCACTGACACACTTCTCTGAAAAATATTTGGGAAATACTACTACTGAATATTATAAGCTCAGATATTGAGGTACCATACCACAAAAAATATTTTCTTCAACTAGTCACAATGAATTATTTTTCCCAGTACAGCTACAAAGTTTCTACAGTATATCATGAAGTAAGACTTGAGGAAAATTAATACACTCCTATTAGAAATGACTGATCTTTTCTGTGAATACTGAAAATAGTCTAAATATGAAGTTTATATTGTCATCAGATCTCTTTTCTTTTTCACCAGCAACAGATAAATCCACTGTAGCATTTTATTTTATTTTTAAGCAAAAACTAATAGTTTGTAAAGGCACAAACACAGGTGCACATTGGAAAGCATATCTTGTGTCTCTGCAAGTGGCATGTAATATATATCAAGAACCATCATATGCTCCTTATGCCACATCTGTGGTTCAGAAAGGCAGTACATACAATGGATATAGTAATACTTTTGCTTAAGCAACAGTAAGGACTTGTATAAATCCAAAAGAAATGCAATTATAACACCATTTGGAAGACTCAGCTTCATATTCACTGTATTTGATAAGCTCTGTAACTGCAAACCACTTCAGCTTTAGTAGGTACATAAAGATGAAGAATAAGTATGTTTATTTTTAAACTTCAGTTCCTGTTGAAGTTGTCAATGACTTTTAAAGGAAGTATTCTGAAGCACCAGAACAGTTACTTTAGATGCAGAACTTCCAAGTGAACACATGACTGAAGGGAAGTATCATATCATAAATGTTCCGAAATGACTTTGAGCCAGTGGGCCTGTTTTATCACCACAAATTTCATTTGCCAAGATGGAGTTACTGTATTCACAAAACTGTGCTTGTGTTCAGAATCCCTAATTCTAATTCACATTTTATTTCAGGAAATCTGAGTTCAAAAAGAACCTAAACTTTTAACTTCTTTTTATTGTTTGGCTACATTAGAAAAAAGTGTCAGGTACTGTTTCCTTAGATGTCACTCTGCAGTGAGCTGCAGAAATGGGTTTTCAGAAAACTGCACAAATATTTTAAATATATTTCTAATTGTTAGCATACTGTCTTCATCTATACAGTTGAAATTCCTGCCTTAGGTACACATAAAGAAATGTGAATATTTGGAAGACATCCAAAGACATATTTCTTCTATTTTCTCCCACACGGATTTCTTTTGCTACTTTAGGTGCTTTTTGGACTTATTATCACAGCAGCATCATGATGCTAATTACATGATAGCAAAACCATCAGAATTAAATGCTTAGCTTAACACCACTTCCTCCTTTTCCTTACTCCCACTTCCCACAAGCTGTTTCAATGCTTTTCCACAGATTCTTTGTTCCAGCTGTGGCTAGGGGATCCCTGTCACCTTTTCTTCCAGCAAAGGGCTATGGCAGAAAGCTGTGCTGAGTGCAGGCTCATGGGAGATGGAGGTGTCCTGGCAGAGCACATGCAAGAGGAGCTTGTGAAGATGGAAACAGTCTTGCATCACAAGATGAAACTGGAAAAGGATGTGGCCTCAATGGTACACAGAAGTGTGCAGTTGAAGTGGTGCAGACAGAAGTCCTTTTCTTTCCCACAAGTAACACTGTGGTAGAAGAGATGTAAAGAAGGTAAAGAAGAGGGGTCATTTTTTTTTTAAATTCCGGATGTTATTTCTCTTTTCTTTTCACACCTACATATTCTATCTACACTTCCCTTCTTTCTTCTGCACTTTCCCAAATAACTGCCCAAATAACTTCTCCTTTCAGCCTTTTCTTAAATCCCATATTATCCTTTTTCTGTCAAACTTTCATTTTTCCTTTCAGAGAACCACAGAATTGCAGAACTATTTAGATTGGGAAAGACTTTAAGACCATCAAGTCCAACTGTTAACACAGCACTATGAAGTCCAGCTAATATATAACGTCCCTAAGCCAAATGTCTTTAAGCATGTTTTAAATACTGCCAGGGATGGTGACTCCATCACTGCCCCTGGCAGCCTGTTCCAGGGTTTAACAACCCTTCTGGAAATTCTTACTAATATCCAATCTAACCCTCCCCTGGTGAAATTTGGGGCCATTTCCTCTCATTCTAGTTCTTGTTACTTGGCAAAAGAGACTGACACCCACCTGGGCACTCACTGGCTCATGTTCAGCTGCTGTCCACCAATACCACCAGGTCCTTTTCCACCAGGCAGTTTAAGCTGCTCTTCCCCCAGCCTGTAGCACTGCAGGGGTTGTTGTGACCCAAGTGCAGGGTCTGGCATTTGGCCTTCTTGAGCCTTGTACCACTGGCCTCAACCCATTCATCCAGCCTGCCCAGATCCCTCTGCAGAGCCTTCCTACTTTCCAGCAGATCAACACTTCTGCTCAGCTTGTGTATGCAATTGAGGGTGTTCTTGGGTCTCCTCAATCAGACCATGAATATTAAATGTGCCTGACCCCAACACTGAGCCCTGAGGAACACCACTGATAATCAGCTGGATGTAGGTCTATTCACCAACTCTCTCTAGGCCTGGCAATCCTGACAGTTTTTTTACACAATGAAGAGCACATCTGTCCAAGCCATGGACAGCCAGTTTATCCAGAATGCTGTGGGAAATGGTGTCAAACGCTTTACTAATGGCACAAAGGCTACTAATGTGGTAGACACATCCACAGCCTTCCTGTCATCCACTAAGTGGGTCACCCTGTCACAGAGGAGATCAGTCAATCACGACTTGCCTTCAATAAACCCATGCTAGCTGGGCCTGATTACCTGTACATGCTGTGTGAGGCTGTGAGGATGCTAAAGATTATTTGCTTCATCTCCAAACCGAACTTTCCCTGTCACAACTTTGAGGCCATTTCCTTTTGACCCAACACTTGTTACATGTGAGACTGGCCCCTACCACACTCCAACCTCCTTTTAGGTAGTTCTAAAGAGCAATAAGGTCCTCCCTGTTCCTCCTTTTCTCCAGACTAAACACCCCTAGCTCTTCCAACTGCTCCTCATCAGATTTGTCCTTCAGATGCTTCACCAGCTTTGCTGCCTTTCCCTGGACATGCTCCAGCACCTGTTTTAAAATGAGGGCCTCAAACCCAGTACTTAAGACACGGCCTCACCACTGCCGACTACAGAAGCACAACCACTGTCCTCATCCTCCTGGCCACACTATTGCTGATACAGGCCTGTATGCCGCTGGCCTTCAAGTCGGCTCATGTTCAGCCATCTGCGCTCCTTCTGACCCAGTGCTTTTTAAGTCCCTTACACTTATTTTCCACCAAAACTCCTGTACTTTTCAGATTCTTTTTTTTTTTGACCTGCCTCTCGAAACCCCCCATCCCACCGCCTGAAAACCATCAGTTTCGGGGACCGGCTGGGAGCGCAGCTCCCCCCGCGACCACGGGCGGGTTGGGACGGCCTGGAGGGAAGGCCTCACTCAGCACAGAGGTGCCCGAGCCCGGCGCCCCACATCCCCGGAGCAGCACCGGCCGCACAACAAGCTCCGGCCCCACCGCCCCTTT